CACCGCTGCACGCTAATCTGGCCCCTATTGAAAAGAGGTCAGCAGTGCACTGAGCCAGGTTCATGAACAAAAGACAGTTATACAACACTGCACAATCTGGGCTCTGTTTACAAGGCTGCTGTCCTGGCTGAAATACTCGGGCATCAATGAAGGTTACCTGTCAACTTAGAGTAGTGCCTAAAGATTACTTCGTGCGGCTGAAGGATTTTGAAAACAGAAAAAATACCGGCCCAGCATCATCCACATTGAAAAATGCCCCGGCATGAAGTGGTTAAGAAATTTAAATCAAGTAATTTGATTAAATTCACAAACCACCTTGACCACCACCTTGTGATGACCATATGGCAACTGTACAAGGTATGCTAAGTTGGGCTCAGCTGTTTGTCACAATTTACTTTATTGTGTTAATAACACATCATATGAAAGAGTTTTTTCTACTTATTCTGCTGGTCTCACAGGCTGCGATAAAGGGGATGTAGAGGAAGAATTCTGGTCAAATTTTGTGTTGGAATTTTACTGTCTTCAGCTAGTGATTCCACATTGCAGTGTAAGCAGCTGTAATGTGAGTGAAACACATGATTGATTGCATTGTGACCTGCAGGGACTGCTGTTGTGTGCTGCCCACCAGCTATATTGTTATGTCCTCACCAAGCATCCTTTGCCACATTGGTGCACTTTATGGCTGATGAGCAATGGAACAAGGAAAAGGCTACATAATGTAGACAAGGTTACAAGAAATGTAAGTTTGGAAATGCTCCTGTGTTTTACTATCACAGTTCAACAGCACCATTTCACACCCATATGTGGAGACACTGAAAAAAATCCAGGTCCTGTAAAGGCTCCATGTGGCAGCTGCACTCAACCAGTAAAATGTAGCCAAAGATCCCTTCTTAGTGAGGAATGCTTGGTGTACGTCCGTCCAAAATGTATCTGAGGTATTTCAGTCACTCTCTGCAAGAGACTTATTTCAAGTACAGTTGACTGGTTCTGTCCATTATGCATTCTTCACAACTTACCCTTCTCAACATGCAGTGAGGGTTCATTTCGTGGGCTTTTGATCCCATTGTTCACCCTCTACTGGATTCTTCCACACACCAACCTGAAGTTGTTGCCAAAGAACACCATTTCTGGATTATTGCTGAATGCCCAAAGTATCCACAAGAAACAATGAGATCTCCGGTCTTTTCTTGAACTTAGTCGTCCCGATATAGTTGTCATAACTGAGTCTTGGATGTTGCCTGACAACTTTGACCTCGCATGTCTGCCTGGCTATTCAACGGTTCATCGTGACCGCAATAACCATGGTGGTGGTCTGATGGCAGTGGTCAGTGAAGCACTGCTGCCTATCCATCTTTATCATCTTAACATGGATGTCCTTAACCTTCAAGAAAATCAAATGGCTGGTAGACATCGCGTATCTACTTCCAAACTCCAGTAGCAAGCAACTTGTTCTTCCGACTTACTTCCTCAAGAACACACCATTACACACCACTTGGACCCACAAATACCTGGGATTAACCCCGAACAGCAGTCTGACCTTATCTGATAATGTCAACGGTCATGATCAAAGCCGACAAAACCCTAGAATTCATCAGGCAAATTGCAAGGGGAAGTTCAACTAAGGCTCTTTCATCACTTTATAAATCTATTGTGTTGTTGGTGCTCGAGTACGGATTGCCTGCTTACTGTCTTATACTGCTACGTACGAACATTGTTAAACTGAAACGGGTCCAAAGGCGAGCTAGCAGAATGTGCCTAAGGTTGCTAAGAGAACCACTACATATGAGGAGAGACTTCAAGTTTTGAACTGGATGTCACTGGATTAGCAGAAGGACCAAGTAGTACATTATGTTTTTTGTCAAGTGCTCATTTGGACTCATTGACTACCATTCCGTTCGGGATAATATTGCAGTTAACATTTGCTGCCAGGACCATTTGAAATTTCACCACGGATATGCCACAACTCTTGCTCTCGAGAACTCCATAATTCATTTCCACACATTTAGAATAACCTACCTCCTCATATTGCACTTTTATACTATTATACTTTACTCTTTACTAGAATAAATTTGTCAGACTACTTCCAGAATCTTGAGTGAATTTTTCCTTAATAATAGGTATTTTCTACACGTGTGGTGCATTTCCGCCCCTCTTCTCAATTAACCAGCTGAATCTTTTTGTCTTTGTTTCTATTTCTTGTAAGACCTGGGTTTAGGTTTGTCAGTAATGTTTTGTAGTCATTGTCTGTTCTTGCGTAAACTTGTGGTCAATTGTGCTTGGAGTCTTTGTTTTACAATGAAGGCTGTTGGTTGTTCTTTGTTGCGTCAAGGCAGGTCTTTGGTTTGTTTAGTGGTCTCTGAATGTTTGTTACAGCTGTCTAGTTTCATGCTACCTAGTCCATCTTGTCTTGTTTGTTTGTATGTCCAGATACTTGTTATATTTGAATCAGTGATCAGGGTAAAGAACCCTTTATTTCAATTTTTGTTAAATATTTCATCTATATATTTGTATCTGTTAACTGTTTAATGTTCATCTGTTGTCTGAATTGAATGTTCTGAATTATTCATTTTGTTTTTATTACTTTTTCTCTATATTCTAAAATTGTGTGTATGTTAAGCTTGGGTAAGCAGGTCTTAAGGCTACAGTGTTTAGGTACACTTTTGCTTCCCTGGTCGGCTTGGAATGTTTTATCCTTGTTTGTAGTTCTCCCTCTCTATTCATCCATATTTTTACCTCAGTGTTGTTTCCCCTTTTTGTGGTATTGTCATTGTAAATATATATATGATGGTCGAGTAAATAATAATAATAGTGATAATATTGTCTAAGCCTAGGTATAGTGCATAGAGTGTAGCACCAACTAGTACATGTACCTGCAGAGAAGATACTTCTTCAGAGACAGGTACATGTACATGTACCAAGTATAAAGTGTGTACAAGGTTTTAAACCAAACTCTAAGTTTTAACGAAACTAGAGTTCACAACAACTTGTTAACAGGGTACTCACACGTACATGTGTCAAATAATTAATGAGTGAAAAAATGCCATCAACCACATGTACATTTTACATGCTGTACATGTATGTACGTACAAACTGCTGATTGTTTACATGTACCTTGCTCTAAGGTGTGCAAAAAGCAGTTTCGTTTGGTTTGTGATCCAGCTCCTTTGAGATTAATAGAGCAATGACTTAGGCTTGATTAAAACTCACTTTATTAAAAGCATGTTGTTTCTGGTTTTTGTTTCATTGCATAATGACCAAACATTTCTAATCTCAATAAAATACATGTGTACTACCTGTATCATGTCAAACTCTGAAGTGGGTAATTTAAATCCTTACCCGCTAACTCTAGTGGTCTCTTGCTGCCTCGACCCAGTGACCAAAAGGCAGCATTGTCGATACATCCAACCAAGTGGACAACCTTTCCCTGGATGCTGATGTCACTCGACGAGACCCTCAATACTGTTCGGGCCAGCTATGTACAACATGGACCCGCTCTGGTGCTGAGCCAGTCTGCAACTCAGGCTTCCGAACCCGCTGGACTGTTATGCTGCTGTGGTTTTTGACCAGCTCAACTCCTCTCGTCTTCCAGCCTTAAATGGATATTTTGGGAAGAGTGACTCTGAATCTACCTAGCTGTCAGCTGGGGCTCCCCTGTCCAGCCCCTCGCTGAGCAGGAATCAGAAATGGAACGTTCCTCAGGCATTCTGATCCATCCAGCTTCATCCACATCTTTAACCGCTAACTCATCCACATGGAGAAAACACAAGCATAAATGCTCCTCATCTTCCTCCATTGAGCCAAGCGTTAAGAAGACACACACCTTCAGACAGCAGAATGTGTCATCTTTACCTTTATGGCAGCCTTCCAATATTTCTGAGATGTCGTCAACTTGATAAAAAAATCCATCGGTGGCTACACTCTGGATCCAACTACTGATCACATCATAAATGTCAAGGTATGGGTAATGTTGTTCCTCACCCACCGGTCCACATCAGCTCCCGCCAGATGTTGTAGAGGTTTATATGAAGCCAACACCATGGGACTAGGTTCGTCATGTAGGCTCTTTGGTCTAATGGCCAGCATGATGAACCTAGTCCCATTGGCTTCATATGAGACCCTTACAACTCCATCTCCTAGCCCGTGCACTGTTGTTCAAAAAGAGACACCATCAAGCTCCTGGTTCTCATAACAGCAACTAGTCACCTGCACCTTCATTGGTGGTTAATGACACACCATCTCGATAGAGGCCTTCTATTCTCAAGGACAGAACCCAAGTTCACAAGTAACCATCGATGCATCTCACCTCTGTTTTGGAGCCTCTCTTCCCCCAACCAAGTATCAAGAACCTGGCATGCTTGACATTAGGGAAAACACATCAACATCTGGGAGCGTCAATCAGTCTTCAATGCTTTACGTCACTTTTGGACAAAGGTCAAGGGCAAGGAGCGTCAGAATTTGATCAGACAATTCTATGGTGGTAGCATACATCAACCATCAGGGTGGCACACGCTCTATCAAACTTTGCCTGCTGACGTGGTAGATGCTCCTCTGGTCAAAGGACCATACATGTACCATCGACCTACAGATGTACCGCAGATACGCCCTCTGGGGGAAAGATTCGTCCAGTGGACCCTTCGCAACAACATAGCCAAGATGACCTTACCACTATTGACAGACCACTCATAGACCTCTTTGCTTCAATAGAAAATGCCCAACTACAGTGGAACGTCGCTATACTGAACACCGCTATACCAAACATTTGGCTGTACCAAACATCATCCTTGGCTCCCAGTATTAAGTGCACAAAACCTACCGAACATTATGTAGTTGCAAATCAACTGATATTCGCCACAGCATGCATCAGAGATCGATCCTGAGTGGTAGCTTCACAACTTTTAGGATAAACCAAATATCAATTTTGTAAATCAAGATTTAATAAAAAACAAAAATAATTAACAGATAGATTACTAGAAACCTCAAACATGAATGCAACAGCAAAACATCACGAAAACAGCGAATCATAGTATCACAAGAGGGTGCACTTCAGTTAGACAAGAGATGATATAAATGCAAAATGTTATGCCATGTCACTTGACTCACTGTGATGTCCTGGTGACATACTTTAATAGCAGACATGTAGGGCATTCAGTGAAGCAGTGAAGGATGTTAATCAGATTTCAGAAGTCTGAAGATTGATTTTAAGAAAAATCCACAAATTAATGACATAGTGATAATATTATGCCTTTGCTTTGCATTACAGTAAATGTTTGTTTTGCAGGTCAAGCTGCAATCTGATCATGTATGTATAAAGATGAATATGCATGTTCATTGTTCTTTATTAATACATGACAACGTCGTCATCAACATTTTTGTGAACTAGTGTATTTAAAGGTTTTTGTGCCTACTTCAATTTGGATACCAGAAATTAAGATGTCAGGAAAAGTGTACTAAAAGTCTAAGAGGGGGGTCTGATTCGTTGCATTATGCTGCAAAAGACAAGACAAGGAAATTTGTTGTCCACACAAAAACCCAAACACACCTTTGAAAGTGAATGTGCATGGCATGTACTTTATAAAAACTGACAATTTCCTGTCCTTATTGTTTCTTTTTGTTTCATTTTGTGGTGTTTTGACAGAGCATTGACGGATCAGGACCTGGAAGATTTAGGAGTTGATATGTTACCTGGTTACAGAGACCCCTACTATGAACGTGTTTTGACCAGAGGAGAGATTGGCTGCTTCCTTAGCCATTACTTCATATGGCAAGATGTAAGATTGAATTACACCAATCTGTTGAAAATATATTCAACATTTTGTGTGGTTGTCCAAAACTAGCCATTTACACATGTGTAATGTGTGAAGGCGGTCATAATATTTTAAAACAAACAAGTGCTCCTTACAATTGCAGTCAAAAACTACACAAAATTTATTTTGGCAGACAGATTTGTGTTAGAGGTTTCATCGAAACCTTACACCCAATGCTGGTTATTCAGTTACGTGTTAAAGGATGTGGAATGACCATAGCACATTCATCTTGTGTTAGCTGTAGCCAGTGTTAAAAAGACTGCAAAGATCTTTGATTAAAACCTGCATCTTCAAATCAGAAGGTTTGTGTATAAATGGACATCTAAAAATACTTCTAAGTTTTACATTCATAAAGATTCATGTTTACCATACTTTGGACAATTGAAAACATTCTGTCATGGGGGTGATTTTGGCAAAATGATAAAAGAAACATGATTATTAAAAAAGAGCCTGGGATAATTAATTGAATTTTGGAAATAACAGCAGTACAGCTCAATGTAACTTTCCTCCATTTGTTCAGAAGTTTATAATTGTGTGTATTGATAGAAACTACCATTTTTAATTGTGTGTATTTATTTAAATATTGCAGGTCCATTATTCACCTGTCAATGTGCCAATTTTTCAGGTGGTGAGAAATAACTACAAAAAAATCTTGATATTTGAGGATGATGTGAGATTCAAAGAGTCATTTAGACCAAAGATGGAAGAATTGCTACAAGAAATCGCACAGAAAAATCTGGACTGGGAGCTACTGTAAGTGTTTTTTTAGCTTGCTTACACACCTGATTACATGTATTGGTAGCCTAGTGGAGAATGTTTGTCTATGCTGTGATGGATCTAGGTTCATTAAAATACAGGAATACAAAGACACTGAGGGGGGGTACAGCCCTGAATTCCCTGTTGTATAACTGTATTTCAATGAACTTGGAATCCCAAATATGCCTAAATGGGATCTACATGTACGTGTATTTCCATCTAGTGCAAGTCTGTTCACAATTAAATTGTTCCTTGCCATGTACATGTGTGTGTAGTTTGTGCAACTTAATGCATCTTGGGGGTTGACATTTAAAGATTTTACCATGGGTACTACCTTTGAAAACTGATCCATGTGAGGACATTGGAGATTTGAGCTGACAACCACCAAGGGCAGATGGGGGGAGGGGGGACAGTGGGAGTGAGCCCCCCCCACAAAGAGCAATAAATTATTTTTTTAAAGATAACGAAAGGCAAAACTTTTAGTCTGTTTAATTTACCTTCATTCAAAAAGCCCATAAAAAGCACCAAAATCTCTCAGAAAAGCCTAAAATGATTACAAGAAAAATTTCTAAATTTTGCCCCCCAAAAAGTCCCCCCCCCCC